CAGGCAATGCCGTCAATATTATCTCTACAATAGCGTCCGACTCCTAAACTAAGACGCCTCCTCGACTGTATCCCTGCCACCGACACTTTGACTCTGTTACAAATAAAAATAACGTCTCAACACGCATTCTTTAAAATGCTTCTGATGACATCTATTGTGCGAAATCTACATTGGAATAATGATATGTCATTATGTTTGAAAAGTAGTAAGTAACAAAAATTAAGACTTCTTCAATTAAAAAAAAAAGATGTGCGTTTAAATTCGAAATTTCGAATGTGTTAAGTTTTATCAATTGGTGACATAGTTTGAGAGAGGTAGTGGTAGTCTGTGTGGTGTTGTGGGCGTGGGGTAGTACACAAACAGACCTTACTCAGGCTGGCGCTGTGCTCGTGCAGGCCGAGGTCACGCTCGAAGCAGTGCAGCTGGCGCATGAAGTGGAAGTTGGGCGCGATGTCAGTCTTGCGGCTGCGCACCAGCTCGAAGGCGTCGCGGAGACAGAGCCGGTGCCGCTGCATCAGGTAGGCCAGCGTCACCGTCACAGAGCGCGACACGCCCGCCACACAGTGCACCAGCACGCCGCACCGCGCCGACATCGCCTCCTCTGCATCACCATAACACAAAAAATCAATAACCATATCGATGCTTCATTGCATATAAATATAGTATGCGCCATTTGATTTGGCGCGTCCAGAAACGTGTTCTTATCAATGCTCTGTTATAAAAATTCGACATTTAGCAGTGCTTTTAGCCTAATAATTAGATTCTATGACAAGTATTGAATAGTTGTAGTTTATCTCAGCCTCGACCTTGTGGGAGGTTGTAAACTTTATGAAATCGGCGGCAGTGTTAGGACGCGCTCACCTTTCAGATGACTAATGGAATATTTACGTATGTACAATGAAGCCATGTGCAACACTAGTGACACGGATGTACTGCGGACATGTATTACATCATGCATTACGTTCATGCAATCATCTTATTACAATATACTATGTAATTTATTTCATAATATAATGATTAAATTTTCTTCAAAGGTTAAATATATTATGTCGATGCATGTAACCGACAAGCATGTATGCGTAAATACATGAATGCAAAAGAAGCAAAGGGCATTCGCGCCTTTTCTGATTGATATCCGTTAACTCTGCCAACCCCTCTGAGTTAGATGCGTGAGGGTTACGTAAGTATATGTATTTACCTATAAATCGTATGGCCTGTGGGAAGTGCACGGCGAGGTTTTGGCTCCAGTGGTCCGCAATGGGGATCTTGAGGTAGTTGATGCCGCAGCCCTCCGCCTCGAACGTATTGGGCAGGTCCGGGGTCACGTTCAACACGTACTGTATAAGACAAACACTTACTTTAACAGTTATTTAATAGAAAATAATTCGCATTAAGAGAAATTTTCTCACTTAATCGGCACTAAAAGACTACTCCATCCTTAAGTATTAAAATCGTAAAATATGTTTGTTCAAGGTCATTTCAAAATATAAAATATACTTGGCATAATAGAACATTTTTCGAGTGGTTTCTTGACATACAATCTGCTGGATGAAAAGGAACCTTTATTGTTTTTTTTCTCGAGCTGTAGCGTGCATTCGTGTCACGTAAAAGCTATTGAGCGTAGTGAAGAGGCCCTCCAATGAAACCGAATGGGCTCGAGTGGACGATACGATGGATAGTTGAACAGCATGCAATGTATGCTTAGGCTTTCTACTATGCATACTCATTTCATAAGCTAGTTAGTTGCAACCTGCTTGCTTCATTTACCTACATACTTTTCAATAAAACCTTGAAAATTTACTTATTTTGAGATACATGACATATTAAAATCATCTTGCGTATATCCTTTATTTTTGCCTCTAAATATACATTTGACGTACTTTAATATTGTGCCTGGCGAGTGCGTCGCAATCCTCGCTGTTGGTTGAGTTGCCGAGGTAGAGGTTGGGCAGGATTTCTATGGGGAACTCCTGCTGCACGTGCGCATGCGTGTGCGCGTCCTCGCACTCCGACGACGAGCCCGACGACAGCGCCTCCTCACAACCGGACCCAGATATACGAAGGGACCTGGAAATGAAAGTATTGAGTATTTAAAAAACAAATGACAAACGCTACTAAAAGTTGTATTAAAAAAATCTTTTTTTTTCTGTTTTTGGTTGAATGACAAGTTTTTGATACAAGTGTTCCGACACTGAAAAGCTACAGAATTGTCAGTATAAAGCATATCACTCGCAATAACAGAATACAAACAAACCTACATTTAATCTTATTAATATATGCCTATAAAAATGTTCGTAAATATTAAGTACACACGGAACTGAAAGTACAAACATTTTTGTACTTTTCAGTTCCGCAGCCCAATGAATTTTCTGTTCACATAAAAGTTTTGTTTGATCATGAAACGGAACAGTTCGTAAAGAAATACGGTTTCTGTCCGCAAAAGTTGTTTACAAAGGATTGGAAGATGCTTTAATCCTACAACAGCTTAGTTTAATATTCTTAGTGTTTTTAACGTAATAGTAAATTTATAAAGAGGACATTGTCCCCTCAGTCGGGTGTCGAGTTTTGGCGTCCCTCAAAATAAGTAATAAATAAATCTACAATATAATCATTGTCCACCCTTTGAGTTAGTTTGTAACAATCTTTGGTAAAGTAAATCACGAAAATATAAATAAGTGACACAAAGAAATGTTCCTATTACACGCTTGCCTTTCCAATCCTACAGAGGTACAGATAAAAATAGAAAACCTCCATTAGCTATTATGAAAGCATTGCCAATTCGCCTTCATTTCGGCAATCGCCCACCTCCTCGTCTTTTATAGCAATATGGCCGCCCACGCCGACTTTCAAAACGAAGGGCTCGCAACGTTTACGTAGCGAGAGACGTATTTTTTTGCAGAGAGCCACATTTAATCCATTTTCCCGCAAGCGGCGAGGTCGGCGTGGGCGGCCGAATGCGTAGGATTGTTCGTATGCAGTAAAGCCGGGGCGAGGGTGCGGGAGGTCGCGAGCGGCACTCGGGAGGGCGGCGATCGATCGCGCCGCTCAATGGGGGAGGAGGCCCCGGGCACCATTCACCTGCCCCCGTGGATCAATGGCCGCCCACACGGCGGCCTTACTAGAGCCCCCGCGCCCCTGCACCCTCACCCGCCTCGCCGCGACGCCGACGCGTCTCCTCCCACGCCGTACTTACCGAAAGTCTCAATCGTCTCGCCGTCATTCAGCTTGTTTTGAAAACAATCTAATTATTGTGGGGCGAAGGAAAACGCTGATTGCTGTCGCCCACGCGCTCTCAGGTACCTCAGCTCACGGCAAAATGTGCCTATCGGACTGCTAGCGGTTGACATTGTGTGAGCAATTGCGGTAATATATTCAGTATTCTCTTCAAGCTTTAACGAATTACAGGTAAGAGACTAAAACAGTCTACTTGCTTGGATATTTTTCGTGAACGCTAGCTTCAGCTTCTATAGAACACCCGATAAATTATTGTCGGGTCCACCTTATTGAGTTAAAATTTTGATAATGACAAAAATTATTTATCACGTTGTTTCAAATAACCAAATAATGTTTTTCCCAACATCGTTTATACAAATAAAATAAAGGAAATCGATAACTTCCGGTGCCTCGCGCGTTGAGTTATGTAGTTTGGGGAATTCCATTGAGTCGAATGCCCTTTCTGGACATAGCAGCAATTATTAATACAATGTAGATAGTGCGGTAGACACTGGCGTGGGCGCTGGGCGCGCCTGGCTGGCGGTAGCCATTCAGGGGAGTTGCCCACGCACCAATCTGATTATCGCGACCGAGGCATCTGAGGACGTGGGTGAAGCTCCGGACCCGTCACCCACGTCGTCGACCGTTCTTCAAGTTCAACACCTAATTTGTAAATCATAGGGCTATGTGCGCATATAAATATTACGATACGTAATAGTAACATAATTTCGCAGAGTGGATAGTATGTACATACTTCTTAAATCTTACCGATTAATCTCAACAATGATAATAGGTACATTTGCAGAATAATTCTATACACTGTACGTGGAATCGTTGATCTCAGCAACTTGACACCGCAGTACATTCGCAGTCGGATACATTCTCAGAAATCGTGCTGGTCTACTCGTATTTATTACATGAAACTACATACATATTACGACATTTATCAAATTACACGTATTAGATACATTTAAGTAAATCGTAAATGTCTCAAAGAAAATGTCGTTGTCCAAATATAACTATTATACATTCTAGCTATACGAAATTAAAAACAAATATGGTAAAAAAATTATTTATAAAAGACAATTATCTTGGTATTGTTGATGAATATACAACAGCGCATTCTGGCGGAGCGTGGTGATGTGTTGATAGGGAACTCAAATCAGTAATTATAATTAAGTGCGCTCCTATTTACAGATAATAGTGTTTCGAAACTATGTTTCCTTATCGGCGATAGTCGCGTACAGCATGGGCTACTTGCAGGTGTATTATGTAAACTTTTGTTACCAATTTTCATAACACAGAAAGTACAGCAAGCTAGTTCCCACGTAAGATGATTTCCCGGTTGTTGAAACAACAGGTAATAAATCAACTACTTGTAAGTTTCACGCTCAACTCAAATGTTAATTCAAACATAAGATATCGTAAATATAAAGATGGTTAATTATTTTCTTCTTGTAAATGATAGTTGGTAACCTTATTAATATTATAAATGCGAATGTTTGGTGAATGGATGGATGGATGTATGTTTGTTTGTTTAAAGTTATCTTCTGACGGTCTGCATAGGTCTCACTGAAATTTGGCATGGATGTAGGACATACTGTGTGAGAATAAATAGGCTACTATTTTTTTGTTCTCCGCGGACAGAGCCGCGAGCGACAGCTAGTGAACACTAAACGGAAGTTGTTATGAAGTCAATTGTTTTGTTTATCTAGTTTTTGATAAGATCATGAAAGCTCGCTATATTAAAGTGGTTCTCGTGCCTACAACTTGCGTATGCGCGTTCGCATTGTGTAACGATGCGGCGTTGACTTCGTGCGAATCCAATTTGTATTTGATTGTTGGCCGCCGGAAGCCGCGCCGCCCGTGTTATTAATGAACGATTCCTATACTGTACTGCGCGGCCGCTGCCTTCGTAACCGACCGATTAAGGATGTACGTCGCTTGTTTGTAGTGGTATGAAGAAGAGGCATGTTCCAAGCCGGCCGGGTAATGTGGATACGTGAGTGTGGGCGAGCGGTGGTCCCTCGCACAGGAATGCGGATCGACCCGCCGCACCGCCGACGCTGCCAATGACCGCCCGCTAGGGACGTTTTTTTTACGCCCGACACAACTAGCTTCTATCCTGTCAGGACTAAGGCGTCATGTCACTAGTAAATTGATGACAGTAGTCATACCATTGAAACCATGTTGTATTATGTTATGCAGTTAAATTTACTACAGAAGTATATAAATATATCTACTTGTCGCAATAAAATCTTAGACAAGTTAAATTAGGTCTTAAATCTAGATTAATTTTGTCAGTTGTAAAGGGAAATTTTATTCCGTTTAAAACATTGAATGTAGTTCGTTTGAAGTGGTATATGGACAATAGGGGGCGGTCATTAAGGCGAGTAAGGTATTAGTGATCCGTAGGAAGCGTCGGGTTTGTTTAGCAAGTGTGTCGAGGTTAAACAGGCCGGCAAGCGGGCAGGCCGCGCGCCGACGCCGTCGACCGTTTGTTTATGAAAACCGCTCTATTTCTGTAGATGGCCGCACACTCTTTAAATGCACGGACTACTATGAAACATTCAGTTGGATGTACAGCCCGTATATAGTTACGAAGAATTATTTCCAATGACATACTTAAAATATTCAGTTTGTAGATAACAATTACATTTAATACAAGATTACATCGGCGAGTCCTTACTCATTTGTTCGATATACTATAAATATGTTAAATATGCGCTTTGAGTGGACTTTTCCATCTTCACAAGCGGATCTTGCAATTACTCGGCCGTAGCGACGGCTTTCACTTAGTCATTGGTTTTTTAATTCATATGAATATAAGGATTTACATTAACGGGACCACTTATTTGGTAATAAAATAAAATAAAGGTATACTAAAGAGACTATCAAAATTAACATTTATCATAACAGAAATATATGTATATATTTCAAGATCTATATCATTGTTGGATCAAAGAACACGTGAACAATTGAGTACCAATGTATATCATGCAGCAATGCAGTTAGAGTCACATAATAGCCAAACGTTATAACGAGGCATATCGTCTATTCACGCATGCTATTGCGCTCGAATGCTAGAACTGTTTTGATTAGTTCGAACCCGCGCGTTGGGTGATAGTCCTTTCTTTTCCTTACCGCGCATTATAATAGTCAACTAAATCCCCGCACGACAATTGCTGATACATCGACGTTCTTTAGTCAGTCGTTTGCCCGTATGCGGGGAATCTCCGCATGCTGCTTATCGTTTGATTTATCGACGAATTAAATTGCACCCTTAATCTCAAATTCCAAGTCCAAACAGACAGACTTGTAACTGAAGGCTGGACGGTGATTACTCATACTAGTTATTGCTCATAATCAAACTGAAATACATCGTGCAGCGTCATGAGCAACCTCGCTATAATAGCCACGATGACAGCCGACACTAACTTTGCACATCGCGTAAAGCTGTTCACAATATTTTTGGAATCGTTGCTCGATTTTAAATTTGAACGTGAATCGTGTTTTGAATCAGCATTATTCCGGGTGAGACGTCTTCATTGATGATGATACCCAGATAGGGTTGTACCATCAGAATTTTGTGTTGTTCAGTATTTTACAAACTTTACTTTTTTTACTTTACTTTTGCATAGTAAAACAAATTGTTTATACATATACTATAGATGTTATTATATTTGCCAATTACCACTACAGGTAAATATCTTAGTTAATCTAAGAAATTATAAACTTTCTTTAGTTTTTATTAGAACTACGTAATGTTCGATAAACACGATTTCAGATTTTAATGGCTAGGTCATACGCATAATAAATAATGCTCGTTCGTGTACAACTTAGCGATTTATTCA